TTGGGTTGTTTTCTTGGGAAATTTTCCTATTTCTTTGAAGACAAAGAAACAACAAACAATGTCCCGTTCCTCGACTAAAGCAAAATATTATTCCATGGCTACTACCACGTGTGAACTAAAGTGGGTGAGGAGCATTCTCTCGAGTCTTGGTATTCCCCATTCTATGCCTATGCACCTCTATTGTGCAGTCAAGCTGCTTTACACATCACCAAGAACCTCATGTTTCATGAACACACCAAACATATCAAAGTGGATTACCACTTGTTCGTAATGAGATACTTTGTGGACACTTACAGACTTCTTATGTTCCCACTCGTACACAACTCGCAGAAAAAAATTAGAGATTAATTCTAATTATTAGAGGTTCTCATTTTTATTTGTAATTATCTTTAAATGTTTTTTTAATTATTCTGTTATTCTTTCCTTATTTTTGTAATAAGTTAGGAGGATTTGTAAGAGATCTGTTAGCTCTATTTTAAGAAAGATCTTATGCTATTTTGTAGGTATTAGGCGTTTAGCCTCCAAGGAATAGATAGAAAAAATATTTATCATAGTTTTGTTATGGATTTTGACATTTTGCACCAAGATCTATGAGACTATTTGCAACATAAATGGAACTTCATTCATGACATGCAGAAGGTAATTATGCAAGGACTAATCTGCTTATTTTTTAAACATTTAAAGGACCTTTATGATTAATTTCAAAATTATTAAGAACTAATTTGCTTGATTATACTCACAAGCGTTGATACCTACTTTGCAAGAGATTATGCCTTGAGCCAACCACAGATTTTGTGTTTGGCATTTGTAAATATAACATAACATTTTAGTTGGAAACTAATATATACATTCTCATATGTTATAGGTATGTCATGCAACTATGCACTAACATATACATTCTCATATTTCAATATCCATGACATCATATAGAACTACATATAACTACTTTGTGCAACTTGTGCATGGCATGGAATTTTGGTCAAAGAAAAATCAAATTCCACTAATACCTCATCCTCTTAAGAAAGTTGTTGGCAGACAAAAAAAAAAATAGAGAAAAAAGAATACATATAAAAAGAAAAAAGAGGAACAAGTCAATTTAAAGGCTCATAAGTTGAAAAAACAAGTAGTAGGGTATAAATGCTCAGCATGTGAAGAAAATTGCCATAATAACAAAGACTGCCTTCATTACAAAAAAAAAATGCTCATTTGTGGCGGTTAATTTTTATGATTAACTATGGTTTTAATCGCCTCTAAATTTTATTTCTGGTAGTTATGAAACTGACATTAAAATTAGTGACATAATCAAATTTGTAACAATTTTGAACTGCCACTAAATTTTTAATTTTGTGGTAGTTTTGAATCGTCGCTAAAATTTAAAATTCAAATTTCAGACCTCACAACAAGAAATAGTGCTCTATTTTATAGTTTGACTTCCACACTTTTCTCACATTCTTATCTCTTACGTATTCTTTCTTTTGCTATTTGGGTTCATATTCTATTTATTTTTTAGCATCATAACATATATATTATATAATTTATAGTGTAAAGTTATTGAAGGAGAGCTATTTTTGGAGGAAGTGAAAAGTATAGTAGAGGATTACCAAAATTGTCACAATTGGAGAAGACACTTTGATGGTGGTAGCGGTGGTGGTAATGACAGAGAAGAGGGTGATGATGAAACTCAATGAGGCCAAGGTGGAGGTGAATGATAGCTTTGAGTGGATGATGGAGAATGGGTGGGGATGAAGTGGTATTTCTTATATTATGTTTTCTTAAAATAAAGCTAAATCCCATTTTTTTTTTTTTGCAGCGGTGACGCAAAATTGTTATTAAATCTCACTTTTTTTTTTGCGGCGGTTACGCAAAACTGCCATTAAATCTCACATTTGTGGCAGTTAGTCAAAATCGCCACCAAATTTAGTATTTTTGTAGCATTTACTAAAACTTACGTTTAATGTTTTGCTGGCAATTATTCTTAGCCGCCACTAATAAGCTGACGCTAAGTGACACATTTCTTGTAGTATTTGTTTACAAAAAAAACAAAGATTAGAAGACTTTATGGCAACCAACATAGCAAAAGGGTGTAATGTAGCAGGTAGCAGTAGTGCAGTGGGTGCTAAACCTGTGGATAAACCTATGACAGAACATGTGGCTAAACATGCACCAAGGCCTAAGTTATAAATTAGGCAAAAACAACATGAATATGTTCATCCTTCTATCATAATTGCAGCCACTACACAATTGTCACCAAGTCCACATGTCAATGATCTTCACATGCTTGAAACACAGACTTCAATTTATGTCCACTCTAATCATTAGGAAACATCAAGATTAGCTTGATAGTTAATATTGTCTTTTTGTAAGAATCATGTAACTGGATGTTATTTTGTAAGTAATTATGAATGGTATCTTTTGGTGATGCTTTTCGGCAAGTATATGGATATATAACATTTGTTATCCCTTTTGAATATTGAAATTTATATGGCTATGAAAATTGTCTCAATTTGTAGCAACATATTACTATTTTATCATGAATGCGAAAATAAACTTACAAATCAAGTAAATTTTATCTTATTCATTTTTCAAAATAGTACATAAATCACTTATGGTACGTTACATAATTGATACATGAACTAATGCACATGCTACAACTTGAACGTACTTTCTACTTTAATAAGTTAACCATTATCACAATGAAAATAAAGACACATTACACTATTGCACAAAATTTTAATCCTTAACTTCAACTTCTAAACTTGCAATCTTTATTGTAACTTGCATTTTTCTATCTACATTTCACAATGTGTAGTTGTTACATGAGAACTTCCGTCAACATTATTGATATTGTCTACTTCAGTTACATCATCAACCCAACAAAAGTATTCATAATGATCAATAACTTGAAAAAACATTATACATGTTTCATTATCTTGCAATTCTATTCTCAATAAACTAATTCATCAAAAGTCATTAACCTCACCCTGTCCATTTCCTTATCATTGTTCCTTGAAGTTTTTGGAAGAAGGAATTTATTCGTGAAAGAAGTTGTAAAACAACATCATTTCAATTCTACGTGGATGTCTACATGTCACTTAACATGATAAATTAATAATCTGTTATTTATTTTTAATGTTTCATAACTTCAAGGACTAAAGTGATCAACATTTATTATTTTTGGAGACTATATTTTTAATTTTGAAATTTGGAGGACTAGCTTTAGTCACATTGCATATTTAAAGGACTAAAGCAAGAGTTTATCCCTTTTAAAAAAAATTGGCACTTTCTTGTTCATGACGTGCTTTGCAAAAATTTACATGTGACAACTTCTTAGGCTTTATTTAAATTTCATATTTAGGAGGGGAAAGTAAGGGAAGGAAAGAGTTAATGATCACTAACTCTTATTTGGAAGTTAATTAAATATGACGAAAATAGTTATGGAGTTTTCTAAACCTCTTAAACCCCTCATAACCTTGTTTTTATTTTAATTCTTCTATTTTGAGAGTTTTAGTGACTCATGCAGTAGGATTTATCATTTATACTTATATTGTTAGATTAAATATGATTTAGAGTAGAATAACAAGAAAATTATATATATATATATATATATATATATATATATTTAAAATATCTCGTGTGAATTTTTAAAAAAAAATTATAAAAAAAAAATTTTAAAATATTATTTTAGAGAGAGAAAATACTTAATTTTTTTGTACTTTTTAAAAAAATAAAAAGAGACAAATATATATATATATATATATGAATAAAAAAATATAAATAGATAATAATATCATTTATATGTTAAACCTTCAATTACCTTTCACTCTCAATATTAAACATCAAATAAAGAAAGGTTTAACCTTCTTTCTCCTCTCCTCCTAAGCCCTTTATACTTTTTCATTCACTCTCCTTCCAAACTTTTAAATAAAGTCTTAATTAATTATATAATTATTAAGGACTAAAAGCTTTAAGTTCGAAAAAATAAAAAAATTTAAAATTTAACAAAATCTAAAAGCTAAAATTAAAATCACAAAAAATATAAATAGAAAAAATATATTTAAGTCTTAAAATTGTAAGTTTATGCATTAAGTCATGAATATCCTCTTAAACTAAATTGTTCTATGTTAAAAATTAAAAGTAAAAACATAAGGACAATGCTAATGAAAACAAAAATCTCTTTAAAGTACTCTATGAATTATGAAAATAAAAGTAAAATAATTTTATAGTAAAACATTAGTAATCCATAATATATTTATTAAAAAATTACATTACTAAAGAGCAAATAGAAATCACTTGTTCTTAAATTTTTACTCATTAAATCATTATAAACTTTAGATTAAAGATACATTCAGAATAAGGTTTTAAAGTGGATACAAGGTTTAATAAATGTTTTGTATATAACACAAGCTCCATTCAAACTATGGTTTTTGTTAATGTTTGAAAATTGTATATTACATGCAAAACAATTGTCAACTATCATTTTGCCGACCAATTAAGTGTGAGGAAGCTTTTTGTTTGTCCTAGAAATAGCTGGCAGTGTATGAAAGGAGGAGAACTTTAAGGATACTTAGTGATATATTTTTATATTAATTTTTTACCTTTTTTTTAATTATTGAATAAAATTTCGCATGAATCTTATTATACAAATAGTCTATAAGCACACTCAACATTAGTTGAGCCAAAACAAGATTTTATCCATTATTTTAAAAAATCCTTAAAAAATATTACTAGTGGATGATTAACATTTATCTTTAAGGATTGTGAGAAAAATGCTTAACGAAATTATCATTCTTATAATGAAGGGTGTAATAATAAACTCTTTGCAACGCCCTCGTTTATTAACTTAAATTTATTAAAAATTACAAAATCATAAATAAAATTAATTAGATAAAAAGTGAAATCTGCATAATTTCATGATTTCTACTAAATTTTAACAGTAATAAAAAATGTAAATACCTGACACTGGAAGCATAATTTGCATAATTACCTTAACACTCAATAGAATGAAAAACAGCTATGAAATTGGATTGCTAATCTATTGATTCATAGAGGGGGGGCAAGAACTAACATGGCCATTTTCACAAGAGGAAATTGGAGCATAAGCTACAGAATGATGAGTTTAAAATGATTAACATTGACAAGTTTAGCCAAGGAAAGGAGCGAACTACAAATCTTACTCAGAAAGCTAAGAAAATATCCGGTACACCCTGAGCACCATTACTCAGCTGTAACTAACTGTAACTGATACAAGGGCAGAGCACTGCCAGTTCCTAAGGTTTTTCGATCATCCTCTTCAACTCTTCATTTTCTTTGCTGAGAATGTCGACGCGAGACTGGAGAATGTTAATCATTGCTTGAGCACTCATCATCTCAAACCTCATTGTCTCTTTCTCAACTGCAAGCTTCTGCATCTCACTCTGCAAGTGTTTGATGAACTTTGCACAGCTTGGAGGCACAGATGACTCGAGATCTGCAGCATCAAAGTCTGGTGGTGGCTGAATTGAAGCAAGGCTTTCCTTTGATTCGAGGGATTCTAGCAGGGAAAACTCCACCAGTGCAGAGAGAAAATGTTTTTTTGGTGCAGTAGTGGTGGTAGCAGCAGCAGTGGTGGTAGTTGGAAGAGTGGTTGCAGCAGTGGTTATTGTAGATGAGCACGGATCCTGGCTGGTTCGAATTGAATCTCCAGAAACGATTGAGTGGTTTGATAAGTTATGCCGCCGTCTTTTGTATATTTGAGGGATAGGCTTTGGATTATCTGCTTGAGGTGAAGGGTACTCATCCATTTGCTTACAATTATTGTCATCCTTTTCAGGTGATGGATACTCGGCCATACTTTCCCTCTTGCACACAGCCAGAAGATTTTGAGTTTCTATTGGAAGCTTGTTCACATCAAAAGGAACTTTATTGTTAGACTGAGTGTCCTGAAACAATCAAAATGAAGCTAATGAATAATGCATGAAAGAGTCAATAACTCAAGGTCATCAAAATTCAAATCCTTGTTGAAGATTTTGAAGAGTGAAGGGTTGCTTGTTACCCCTTCCCTCCTTTGTTCAATTACCATATAATCAAGACTTCATAAAACAAAGAAATTGTATAGCAATGCTCAGAGTTTAGAAGCATTTCTTTATAAAACACAGCATGTATGTGCCGGTAGATATCTTACAACAAACTTAGGAAGAATTCACCATCCACAATGGAGTCACTCATCTTTTAATATTTTGTTAAAACTTGAAATATTAAGGAACAGGAGGGACTACTAAGACACAAAATACACAATTTGATTAAATTAGTGAATCAATGTCGGCAGATAGAAACACAACAATATAGAAGCTAATTCTTCAACTCATTAAATCAACCATTGCATCAACAGTTTCCTAAGCCAGATATTCTCAAATTACCCAACAGAAATAGTTTCACCAAATAACCGTGACTTCCTGAGTGAGGAGAAAAAACAAATAAATTTGAACGCATTGGTATGCACCATACCCCAAGAGAAAGGGGAGGAAAAAGGATCTACCATAAATGCAAACAAAGGCATGAAGTACAATGCCAAGAAAGAATGTGAATCATAGAATTCAAGGTGAGTGAACAACCATAAGACTGGACATGCTTCACTTCACTAAATGTTGGGCGCTTTTGAAATAATAGCAATACTGGTAGAAAAGGAGCAAAAGAGTAAAGTTATTGTAATATAAATACATGGTTTGTAACGAGGTGACAATGATACAAGAAGACAAAGCACTAACCCATATTAGTTAGTAGCAGACTCCTAATTGTAATCTAATCAAATAATGAAATCTAGAAACCACTTAAACGATCATCTAAGATCTTCTAAAATGTTTTAAGATACAATAAAGATATTCTGAGATGTTTTCTAGAGATTTTGACATTCTCCCATAAAAGATAAAGTTCACTAATCTATAAGCATGTTAAAAATGAACAACTGAATAATCAACAGTGTGTGCACAGGGAGTGACCCCAGCATTGTTATGTTCACCCGAAACTAGTCATAGGAGGCTATTGCACAAATTGCTCAGTTGGTGATGCCAGCATTGTTGTGTTAACCTGAAATTAGTCAAAGAAACTATTGCAAAGCCAGCCCATGTGGGAACTAAGGCTGTGAAGTGTGTTGAAATGTTGTGATCCAATTACAATATGAGAAACTTGAGTAATAAATTGTAACTAATTGCAAGTGTAGGATTCTAATGTGTGGTGCTAACCATAGTAGTCAATTCCAGACAGTGGCGCAAAGCAATCGACCCCAAAAATGGTATAACAGGATAGCGGATAATGGGATGACTGCTATTTTAGGTATTTTAAATATACTTAATATAAATTAAGCTACACACATACGCTAAGAAGGAAATAAAAAAAAACAGAGAAGGAAAATAGAGCAGGTTTGCTGTAGCAAGAGAATCAAAACAGAGAAGGAAATAAAAAAATAAAGAAGGAAAATAGAAAAAAAAGAAAGTTCAATCACCAAAAAATGAGCAAGCTTGCTAGAAAGTTTGTTGGAGATGTAGAAGATGATTAGAAAATGTCTAGGTGATGTTGGAAGGATGGACTTGAAGAAGACGATCAGAAATGAAGACGACAATTGAAAAAAAATGGGTCACATCAGAGGTTTCATTGGAAATGAAAAAGATGATCAGAGAATGTCTTTGTCTCATCAGAAGCCTTGTCGAAGAGGAAGGACACCAGAAGGAGTAGAATTGCAGTGAACAGAGATGAAAAAAACAGAATGAAGGATAAATGAAAGACGAGAATGAGGGCTTAGGGCTTACAAGGGAGGGAGGGAGAAGATATAAAAAGATAAGAGGAAGCGAAATCCCAATATTGCCCCCCCTTAAAAGTCGTCAACATTCAGAAACAGAGGCAAATCTGGACTTTCAGCACGAATGGAATAGCGACCGCGACAACTACGATTTCCCCTATTTTTTTGCCACGATTCACGACGGCCACTCCTCTACAACGTGACGTGACTAAGTCTCCATAATGGCACCTTGCCGCTCCGCCATGATAATAGCCTCTATTAACTATTATGGTGCTAACTACAATGGCTAGCTTTTTTAATATAATTCTTAGATTATCATCATCATTATTGTGTGTGTGTTGGGGGAGAGGAGGGAGGATTGATTACTATAGTACCTAGACTAACACCATACTCACAAAATAGTGCAATTATCTAAGTTCAAACTTGGACCCAATTGATGAGTAAAAACCCTTCCCCTTGTGGGTAACTTTTGGAGGTAGTAGGTCCAATTGTTATCCTTACCATGGTAGTTAAAATCCAGAGTTGACATCTTCCTTGGACTCTTAATATCAATTAAGAGAGTCATCCACAAAAAATATGCAAATAAGGACATTAAAGACTCCTTAAATAAATAAGGACTCAAAACTAAGCTTCTATGTAAATTTATCCTTATAAGAAAGTCCTTAGTTACACCTCTCGAAATCCTCACACTTGTAATTATCTCATCATTATATTGATAAATGAAAGAATACTAATAACCCTCTTGGTTCAAGTTGATGATCAATATGTCGTACATATCATCCAATAAACCATTGGTTGTGTACTTCATATTTATACAAATAATTTCTACAAATAAATTACTTCACTAACTTATTACCTGGTGCCAACAAACTAGCAATTACAATTCAGCTGATTTTATTAACTTTGCCAAAGTAAGGCATCAAGTTATTATTAGAAGGAACAACATTATTCTTTGTTAACTCTCCAATTAAGCCTTCTACTTTCATATCATCCTCATTTCTGTTTTGCTAGCCATTCATGGTCAACCTTGCTCATGATTTGTACATGTAAATTTATAAAGCTGAGATTAAAGAGAATCTATTTTCTTTATAGTTAAATGGAAGAGAACTCAATTAAAAGCAAAACAATGCATAAGGTACACTCATTAATAGTCAAGAAGATCCAATTATCACTTGTGAGCCAAACTTTCCAAAGCCTCAACATGTTGAAAGAATGATGTGACCCAGCTAAGAATCAACTCAACAATTCCTTGTGATTTGCCAAAAACAATCATGGAAACATGCCATATAACCAATGAAGCATTGACACTCCTCTTACTTGAGACGCCATAGTTTGAGCACACATCTAACACTTGTTTGACATGTGATTATTTTTCAAAAGAAGTTACATCAAACTTGCACTTAGTTTGCTAGCAAGGCCACACATCATGGCCCTAGATGGTCTAGCCAGAAAGGTCAACATTCCATGTTTGCAAGAGCCCTCCAAAGAAAAGATGTACACAAGGTAAGAAAAAAGCAATCACCCATTAAGAAAGCTAAATAAACTAGCAAAGATGAAATATGCATCACTCAAAATTGATTTTGCCAAGACAAACAAAAGTATAAACTAAAACTTTGTTTGTTAGAGCATGGATTGATCTTCCATGCTCAAAATCTTGGTCTTCTGGAAATGTATGCAATATCCATGACATCAATTTTATGACTTAAGGGAACATAAAGGATTGTTTGATTTTATAAAATGTTTTGCATTCATTTTGTTTTAACTTTTAATTATAAAATTGTCACGTAGTTTTCATTCTATTTTTTGTTTTCAAAGATCTGTACAGAAAACATTGAAAACAAAAAAAGTTATATTCTGTAATTCTTGTACTTGTATAAATCTTTGAAAATAGAAAACAAAATGAAAATAAGATAGTAGTCTTGTAATTAAAATGAAAACAGAAAATGTTTCTAAAACCAAATAGCCCCTATTTATTCATTTTGGAAAAAACAAATAAAAATTCATCAAGACAATGATAAGAAAAAGTAGGGCAATATGAAGGATCAAGGATTCACCATCAGGGAAAAGAGAAAATAGTAATGTAGCCAAGAAAAGTTGTTATTGCACACCTACAATCCGGCACGTGGTTGATTGATCGATAAAGAGTTCTTAACTAGGAAAGCATTAAATAAATAGATTGAAACAAATGTAGCAAAGTTATTATCATTTTTACTACTGAAGTCCAACATTTTCATCTATTTTTTAAGTTTCCAATTTTTTTATCATGAATATTCAATGATCATGCACGAAATAAATGTAAAGCATCAATAAATATATTCCACCGCAAATCGACAAAATTAATTATTAATAACAATGATTAAATATACACCTAAAAAATCTTGGAAGGAACAAACCTGTACAGCATCATTTCTGCCCTCAATGCATAAAACTCCACCATTGCCTTCAACACGTGTAGGGTAGGCAACACAACCATTATTCACAGGTTCTGCCCCTGGAACCATTCCTGATTCATCATCCCACTCTTCTTCAATGAAGGGTGCATACCGTTGCCCATTCGGAGGTCCTATGTTATTTTTGTGAAATACTCTACACAAGACATATGCATCCTTCTCCATCCAGCAGAGAAATGCACAAAAATCATTAACAAAATGTAACATAATAACAATGTCCATATTGCAGTACATAGCAAACTATTGATTGAACTTTTACTAAAGAACAAAGTTCAAACTCCTACATCCAAGTGATACACAATTCCAGTTTCGGAACTCAAACACAAACTAAACTCCTTATTTTTTTATCAACATGAAAACAAGGAGAGCCCTTAGCTGCTGCAGGAAACAGCACAAAATCATACAATTTAGGCTCATGCCTCACGCTTCAATTGCTAAAATTATTCTATAATCTCACCTGAGGCTGAGAGGATCCAGTCCCAGCCCTCTCTGGCAAATCAACAAGCCTGTACTCATGCATGACCCAATTTGTCCTAACACCATCTGGAGCTCTCCCACTATGAAAGACCAATGTCTTCTTCAACCCTACCTCCTTTTGTTCATGCTTAACTGGACGGTCATTTCCAGTAGCTTTCCAGTATCCTTTGACTGTGGCCCTGTTCATTCTGCCACCGTTACCATATTTCTTGTCCAATGCACTGAAAAAATACCATTCTTGGTCCCTAGTCTTCAACCTTGACTTATCTAAACAAGCAAGAACAAAAACCCAAAGAAAAAAACAACAGAAAACACTAGAATTAAAAAAAAATGAGATTATAACCATGAAAATGAAAACCCACCCTCAAGAATAACACCCCCTCCCCCATTAAGTCAAAAACTTAAGAAACCAAAAATAAGACAGCAAAATTTCAATCTTCACCACACAAAAGTGCAAAAAGGTGGAAATTTTGGGGAAAGGGAAGTGACCTGCTAGTTCCCAGGGCTCGCTTCTGTATATGTCAACCTCAGATATGGCATCAAATCGGAAGCTTTTGCCACAAACCTTGCGCTTGAGGTAGTAAATAACAAGCTCCTCATCAGTTGGGTGGAACCTGAAGCCAGGAGCAAGAGAGGTAGGGGGCGCAGTTGTTGCTGATGCTGATGCTGATGCCACTGGAGCAGGTACAGGCAGGTTCACAGTGGTGGTGGATGACGGGGTTGGTGGGGTTTGAAGGAAGAGAGTTTCGCTACCCATGTAGGAGTTTGAGAGTTGAAAAGCAAAAGGGTTGGTGGATATGGTGATTAGGGCTTCAGTGCTGAAGTTGCCTGAGCCAAACGGAAAAGATGGGTCTTTGATTGAGGGTCAAGCAACAAAAGAGGGGTACCTTCAATGACAAGAAATTCTAACACTTCGTGGCTTCCAGGGATTGTGATTTATTTTTTTCTTTCTTTCTTTTTTTTAATTTCTTCGAAAAAGAAAATTAAGGTTGTGTTGTTTGTATTGAAAATCAACAACCCAAAAATAATCAGGCCAATTTCTTTTATTTGGTTTTTTTTTTTAATAATGAGATTCTTTTGGTTGGATTGCATTACTGTAAATGAATAAATAAATGATGTAGATGAGGATTCAATGGGGCTTATATGGAAACCACATGATTGGGTTTTCTCTCTTTTTTACCATTTTACTGTCATCAAATTTGGAAGTGAATAAATGAGATTATTGTTTTCTCTCTCTTTTTTTGTCAATTCTTTTTCTTATTCATTTTTGTGAGGAAATAACTTGGGACCATTCTGGGGCACATTTCCCATCTATGGCCCATTGTTGTTATCATCTTGATCGAGGACCAAATAAGTATTGTGTTTCCTAGTCACGCCAATAATTTTATTTTGCTGATTGAAGAGCTGTTAAAATAGAAAAATGTCATTTTTAAGACAATTGGCTCAGATAATATTGATTATGACTTTCATTGTAATTTTTTTAATGCAAATAATTCCATTTTTTATTTCACCATTTTTCCTCTCCTTTTTCACTTCTATAGAAATCACTTTTTCACTCGGGTGTTATTCATATTTCAACGCATTTTGTTTGTATGTCTGTTTTCTATACTTTCTTATTTTTCAAAGCCTGTTAATGTCAATCACGAGGGCTACAATTCTATGCAAACAAATATATAAACAAAATTTTGTTGATTTACTAATTTTGCTTATATCCAGTGAAAAAGAAGAAAAAAAATGGTTGAATAACGCTTTGATGTGGGAAAAACAGTTATGAAATAAGAGAAGAGAAGACATTGGTGGTTAAGTGGAAGGTGTGTTCTGTAATACAACAACAGCGTTTTCTTTGTCCTTCTGATTTTACCGTTCAGTGATTGAGTTGTTCGAGGATCTCTCACTTTAATCCATTGTCCAACCATACACGTTCCAATCAGTATTCTGTACTGCTACATTTTTTTTATTTTTATATCAATTTTTTCTCCCGCCAATTTTATCCTTCCGCGCTTCTCCTCCTATTTAGTTCATGTCTACCTTTGAAAAAGAGTTATAATTTTATAAAAATGTTTTTTATTTAATTTATAAAAACAATGTCATTTTTTTAGTTTTTATTTAAATATGAGAGAAAAAATAATTATACTAATATAAATTATATCAATAATTAATAATTATTGAAGCATACTAATTTGATTAGGTAAAAAATTTTAGAAATACTAGTATTTTTTGTGGTAGTAATTATGGTTGTGTGAAAGGTCCCTGTTGTAGTTCTTTATAAGAAACACTTCAACACCTTAGTTAAGAATATTTTGGGTGGTAGAAATATACGATAAGTAGTAAAATTTGCATTCTTGAATTATGAGAGTTCTTTGTATGAATGTTGATTCATTTGGACATTTTTACACTTGACTAAGTGATTGTTTTGTACGAGTTGTGCACCTTGTTTGTACAAAAATTCATAACACATTTGAAAAAATTTATTATTTGTTAAAAATATCATAATTTAATGCATATACATAATAATTAGGTTATTTTGATTCAAGTAAAGATATAGTTAATATTGATTACCAACATGATAAGTTGTTATTCTTTTATGAGCGATTTCCAACAAGCATAGGTGGTTGTGTTACCTTGATGTTAATCATATATTTGACTTTGGATCAATTATATTGATGATATTTTTATATAAAATATCATTTTTGTTGATTCAATCATAAATATTTTTTTAAAACACGCACACATTTTCTTCTTCCTCTTACCTCTTATTCACACTATCATGACTTATTTCTCTCTACATTTGAACTCTAATAAAAATATTTTTTTTTATTCCTTTACCCCTCCTCATCCCTCATTTTTCTTGAACTTCAATTCTTTTTTTCTTTTTTCAAGTTTTTCAGTTGGAACTTTGAGTTCATTAACTATATCATACATGGAGACGTTTCAAAGAATGTTTGCAGGTGCATAAGGAGCACTTGGTCAACCATTACAAGATTTCTACACCTTTGATTCTTTAAAACATATTTATATTTCCTCTTTTCTCAATTTTTTTGTTCATTACATTAACATACTTGCCTATTTTTTAATAAATCAATGCCCTAATTTATAAAATTTGAAACCATAATTTTGTGTAAGAAGGGTTGGTATACCCATGGAAGTGATGAATTTGATGTTGGGAAGTTTGTGGATAAGTACATTGTACATGTTGTAGATGTCTTTGTCATGCTTCAAATTGATACTAATGTTAGGGTTAAAGTTATTGGAATTATTAGTTTTCAAAAGAAAGTGAAGACTTAAATGAGAAGTAAAAGGAGAAGGAAAAAAAAATGAAGCAACAATATATTGCATTTTTTATGGAATTCACAATAAGGAAGACGATACTAGATTAGTAGACTTGTCTCATAACTCTTGGTTTTGTTTTGGTTTCATCTTCAAACTTTTTTTCTTCTCATTTTGGTCCCTTAATTTGCAAAAGTGTTTTAAATAAATCAATTTTTTGTCAAAAATGTTAATTTTATTATAAAAAAAAAATCATTGTTCATCCTTTTACTTTTTATGAACTTCAACAAAAACACAATATATTTTAGTAAAATTTTTTATTTACTTTTTTTTTCTTTATTTTCTACATCCTCCTACCTCTCATAAATGCTTCCATGACTCATTTTTCTATCCTTTTAAACTTCAAAAAAAATGTTATATTTGCTTTTTCTATTCTTATCCCTCATCCATACTCTTTTCCTCTTTGAACTTCAAAATATTTCTTTTCTTTTCTTTTTTTAAGTTTTTAGATTGAGTCTTGAATTCATTGATTCTGTCATGTATGGAGAGGCTCCAAAGAATGTCTACAAGCAATGAAGGAGTATCAGACAATTCACCACTCGATTCTCACACCTTTAATTTCTTGAAGCAAGTTTGCATACCCTCTCTTATACTTCTCAAAATGCTCAAACATTATATGTTTTTCTTCTCAATTCTTTTATTCATTACATTTATCTAAATAATGTTTGCTAGTGTTAAGGCAGTACTCGACCATCTATCACCTAATTCTCACATCTTCGATTTCTCGGAGTAGGTTTGTATATTCTCTCATGTACTTTTCAAAATGCTCAAACATGGTATGTAAATATTCCTAATTCTTTTATTCATTACATTGATCACTTTTTTTAACAAATTATTATCCTAATTAATAAATATTAAAATCTCATTTATTGAAATGGTTGGTGTACCCATGAAAATAATGCCCTTGGTGTTAAGGAAGTTTGTAGATGAGTATATTATATATGTTGAAGTTGTTAAGGTAATTAGTTTTTGAGAGGTAGTAAAGGCATAAATAAGAGGCAAGAAGAGAAAGAAAAAAGAAAAATAAAAAAAAAGGTAATAAAAAAATTTATAACTATGCTTTTGTTTGAATTCACAAGAAAGAAGAAAATAAATAATAACTTTTTCATAAAGTTAATATTTTTAATGTATACATTTTTTTCAATAAAAAATTATAGAGATTAAATTTGTGTAATTAAAATTTAAGAGATTAAAATTGAACAACCTTACAGATATGGGAACAAAAAATGTTTGCATGGCTCAAATATAATGTAGTTAAAAAATGAAATAGAAATGAAAAGATAATTTTAATAATATTAAAAAATGATCTTAATTTAGAATTCAATCTTTTAAAATATCACAAATTTTTATTCTGTTTTCTAAAATAACTCAAAACATATTTTATTTAATTGATATAATATATTTGTTAATAATTTATTGTTTAAGGTGAATGATAACATAATATTAACATTTTCACTATTTTTATAGTTTTAAATTTTAATTTTATAAATGTTAACTTTATAATCCAATTTTTTTGAATGAAAAATATCAAGTTATTAATGGTATACCTCACTTATACCATGTCTTGATTAAATTGCATGTATTCATAAACTTAAACGTTATACAAGTAAATGTAAATAATTAAATGAGTTTATTAAATACTAATAAATTAATTAAATAATTTATTTAAAGAAATTAAGAGACTATATTAAAAAATAGAGATTAAATAAAAATAAAAATACTTAAATCTAAAGTTTTTATTAAAATTAGACACTTATTGGATTCAAAATATAAAATAATAAATTCAAATGTATTACTCGGATAAATTGAACCCTAGCAAAGCGTTTAAAAAGCAGAGGCTAATTAATATGAGGGAGCGCGTGACTCGGGAGGAGTGAGAAGTAAGAAACGTAGTGCGCGTGGGTCTTTGTTGTGTAGATATGATAATCACTGGTGAAAGGGGCATGTGTTGCACGTGTACACATTGAAGTACATGCATCTGCTACGTGTCTTCATCTTTTTCGCCTTCAAACTCTTAAAAATAAAAACTGCGGTGAAGATCCTCTGATGACGACTCTGATGGGTCCCACAGAGCTTACATGTCCCATTCAGGTAATTTAGTACATCACAAAACCCATTGAACAATGTTATTTAAACAACCCGTTTAGGTGTCTACACCTATATCAACCATAATTATTTCTAAAAAAATTTAAATTAAAATTTCACTCTCTCGCAGCATATGGTAGTGGGGATAAATACTTCAACGAAGTGTTTAGATAGCATTATTTTAAAATCATTTATCTCATTTAATGAAAGAGTATTTTAATTATTAAAATATTAAATATATTTAAGATATATTAATTATTATTTTTTTACATTTATTATTATTAAATATATTAATAAAACAGTAATTACACTAATTATATTATTTAATATCACTGATATATTTAAAATAAAATTTATATTTATAAAAAATGTAACACCTTAAATTTAATTTTTCAATAAATAAGAAACTTTACAAATTTTTGAAATAATAAAATTTTTATTTTAATTTAAGTTTCATCAACCATTTCAAATAAAGAAAAAAATTACAAATTATATCAAACAGTTGCTACAAGACTTATTTTAATATAACAGTTTCTCAAAATAATATTATAAGTCCTATAACAGTTCCATTCACTTCTTCACTGAGCCTGGTGCTAATCGTCTTAATTACCTAAAAAATAAATGTAAGAGTGAGTACTCTATACTACCAAAACACAATCAAATTTAGAGTTTCACCTCCAGCACATTTCCAATATCTTAAACAAACACAATTATAGGCAACATTTCACATTTATAAGTATAAAACATAAATACATGCATACACACACCAGCCACACTCATTATAACACTGTAATCACAGATTTACACCATGAATGGTTGCCGATTATCCCTGCCTTACGGATACCACGTGGGCGGTCACGGGTCGCTCAACAAAGGTAATGGTCATAAGTCTAACTAGGAAGAGAGTGTGTGGCCCGTGGTGCACCCGTTCTGTAGTCGGTGTCACCACCACTCCCTCTTCCTCAAGGTATTTCTATCGTTCTCATCTCCCACACCCCCAGTGTATCGTTGAACCATTCACAGCACATTATTACAGCGCTAACACGCCCATTCACACATATTCCATTCACGCATGAAATAATCATGCTTACACATGACACACAGCCCACATTGCATTTAAATACACGGCATTAGACCCACATTCATTTCATATTACACGGGACATAGCCAACATTCATCTATATTACACGGCCCTCAGGCCGACATTTGTTCACACATCGTAATATATAGCAAAATTCCATCAACCACATATTCTCTCATCCATACACATAATATTCATATATCACGACACATGACCTACATAATATTTCATAGTAATTTCCTATCCTCTAGTCAGCCACATCATAATATTCAACTAAATAATGGTAAATCGCATACAAAGAGTAGGGTAAAGTCCCCCCTTACCTCGGATTGACGTCCCACGCGCTAAATCCACCAAGAAGTACTCTCCTTCACGAATTTCGTCCTAAACACATAGAGAAACTCCATGAGAACCCAGGGAAACCATGAAAATAGAGAAAAGAGATGTAAAACCGAAACCCTAACCATTAAAACTCACCTCCAAGCGTTCTCCACACGGATTCAACCTTCAATCAAGCTCCCGAACGGCTTTATAGGCAATTTAATTAGTGGAAAGTGCTTTAGGCATGAGAGGATCGAAGGGAGAGGGAGAAATAACTCTCCCCGAACCCTAACCCCCTTTAAATCATTTTCTGATCGCGACACTCTCGCTACAGTGAGGTCCCCTCGCTGCAGCAACACGCCCTCTCGTTACAGCGAAAAAACAAGAGAAAATTGCACTTTGGTTTCTGTAGAATCTCACTACAGCGAGACTGCACCCAGAAATGCACCTCAAACTGTCACTCTTTCTTTCGCTACAGCAAAAAAGTGACAGTTTCAGTCCTTCCTCTCAGGGCTCTCTTGCTACAGCGAGAATCCTCTCGCTGCAGCGAGAACAACCCAGTATTTCGCCCTATATTTAGGCACTTAGCCCATTTCAGCCCAACTAATCATGCACACACACACACACACACACACACATATATATATACATACACACACATACATATTCACAACATATATCTAAAATATACACACATGAATATACATTTAGATTTATATAATACAATAAATAATATTATAAAATTGAGAGCGTTACAAAAAACATAATCAATTTAATTGCTTTCTTTACTTTTAATAATTTAGTCTTTTGTTTTTTTAAAAAAAATTAGAAAAAACATTTAAGTTATACTTATTAAAATTTTAATTTAAAATCATAAATGAAGTTTAAATAATTTTCACCAATAATTAATATATGTATTTAATGATTTAACATTCTTATTAAATAAGAAAATTAAATTAAAAATTAATCATAATTACTTTAAACTAAATTAAATATATTTATAAATATTAAAATATATTCAGATCAAATTACTTTTATCTAAAAATGAATTCAAAATTAAAACATAACCATCCTTGTGTGAGACTAATTAACTTAATTAAAATTATATAAGATTAACATCTAATAAGAACAAAAATAAAGTAAGCATGGTGAATTATATACACTCCCATCTATGGTTAGTATGAATAATTAAATTAAAAAATATAGCTGTTATTTTAGTCCTACATGAAAATGACGTGGACTTCATAAGACATTTGACTCACCTTCCCATTTCAAATTTTGCATTTCTTCACGTTTTGAATAAAAATTGTTTGCTACAAACTTGTGTTTGAATTGGGAGAGTTGCTAATCTTTGGGAGTTTGTGGTGTTGGTGTAACATTATTTGTACACATTATTTGTTCATGTGAATATTGTTTGCTTTTAATTGATATTTTTTATTTTACCAAAATTAATAGTTAATTTAAATTATAAACAAATTATTAATGCATGTTTATTTTTTACCTTATCATCCATAAACAATCTTATTTAAATAAAATAAAATATATTTTTTTTACATTGATTACTGACTTAAACAAATTATAATACTACAGTAGATGGAGAGAGCATTTTCTTGGATAGTTAATTTTCTAAATAATTTTAATATATTTCTGTGGATTTTTTTTAAATTTTTGTCTTTAATTTTTTAACGACCTTTCTAATGCACGCTTAGTAACACATGATTAAAAATAAAAAATATTAATTAAAATATAATATTTAATATTATCAATGTATTGAATCTAATACTATTTTATGATTTTAAATGAAAATTTATTATACTTAATTTTTTATTTTATACTTAGACATACTTAATTTTAAGAGTGTTATTAACACAAAATTTAATATATTATCAACTAAAATTTATTAATTTTTAATGTGTCTTTAATGACATATAATAAATAATTTTTTATTAAAAATAATAATATACAATGTTATTCATGCATTGAGTTTTATAATATTTTTAATAAAAATTCACAATAGATTTTTATTCTGTGTCATTGAATAAATATTAGAAAACTAAAAATTTATTAAAATACATAAAAGTATAAATAAAAATTATTAAATTGAAAGTATATTCAGATTATTTTATAACTTTTAATATATTTCATTTAATAATAAAAAATATTGCCAACATTTTGTCTTAATTGTTAATAATGGGATAATTAATTGAGAAGTTGTTGAGCGTGAAACTTTTGTTGTGTCCTTAAGAATTACAAATGTTGAATCTTAAAAAATTAAAATTTTATAAAATATAGAAATAAAATATATTGAAATCAAATTTTTATTATTAAATAATTAACTATTAAGCTTTGAACGATGATATAATAAATATAATAATTTATTTCCCCAGTAGAAATGACAAATGTGGAAACTTCCATAAGCACGGAACTGATATTGCTTTGCTTATGTGCGTTTTGTATCTGATAACTGATTTGTTGCTTTCTTTGGAGTTTTCTCAGACGAAGGAAATTTCTGTGGAAAATGTCATTCCATACGCCATTCCAGAAAATGACATTTACGTCTTCCAAAGAAACACAAAAAATATGGTGCAGTGGAATCATCTTAATTAGATTCATAAAGGGTACTAAGCTTTCTTAGTACATTATCATTTCCCTTCTTAGGAGCTTAAACATCACTCTACCTTAAATTTACCAACTAATCAAGTCACCTGCATTAGGGTCAAAGGCCATTTTTAGGAACAAGGCAAGAAATGGTTTTGATCAATGTTTTTATGTTAATTGCAACTGTTTTTTTAATCATTTTAAATATTGAATTAATTCTTTCAAATACAGTCCAAACTTTGAACCCAAAAAGCTGATATGGTGAGTACACTTGTTTACGCATGAAGTCATCCCTTTTATCAGCAAATCAAGTTTACACGTAACATAATTTAGACAGACTTGTCAGCATAGAACATTTTTGGTGAAAGGGGGATGAGTAAATTTTTTTAATAAAGTTTATTAATTTTTTAATTCATTTTAATAAATTTAATCATAAAACTTATAATATATGTACATTCTCACAGATTAATAAATAGGTAACTAATTATACCTTCATGTTGCTTGGTCAGTGCACTTCAAAATAGTAGTCAACATGACTCTAGTAAATACCATAACAATTATACCATTCATAAATACATTTTAACTATACTCTCTAGTAATTTATTTATTTTTCACAATATCAATTATTTTATCTAACATACTATACAAGAAATATAATTTGGGGCATCATAAGTGTGGCGGGTTAGGTAAGTTAATTGAGTGGGAGTGTTTTAGTTTCAGAGGGTGGAATTGAGTGAGAAGGAGACAAAAGCATAAATATGGCCGGCACACATCAAAAGACAACATAGTAGGAGTCCCATGTTGTGTGCACAACAAGAAACAGCGCGTGGGCTCAATCTACTGCTCCTACAGTGCTACTATATAACATTACATAACACAACACATGAAAAAATAAAAGCGCTGAAGGAAAGAGGACATTTGTCCTAACCTTTCTGATCTTCTTGGACCAAACTCTCAAGTCTCAACCGCTTGGACTACCTGCCATCTTCATCTCTTTGTCTCATTCTCTTTCAAAATCTTCTTTTTTTGTTGTTGAATAATTCTTCACCCTTTTTCTGAAAGGGAGTGATGATCATGGTGGAATGATCCAGTCACAGTTTGGAAGCTGAAAAAAGAAGACATGGGTTCTGCTTCAAAAGTTGGAAATAGCAGCTACGATTACTCCTTCAAGGTTTTGTTGATCGGTGATTCTGGTGTTGGGAAGAGTAGTCTTCTCCTCAGCTTCATCTCAAACTCGAACTCCATTCATCAACTCTCCCCCACAATTGGTTCTTTCTTTCTCTCTTTCTTTTGTTTCTGGGATCAGTTTGAGATTTGTGAATTTGGGTACCTTCTATTTTCTTGTTTAGAAAAATGGAACAGGGTGGTGTATATAGTTTCCATGCCATTGGCGTAGGATCATGCATATGTTTACTTGGTTTGATCTTTGATGTCAGACTTTCTGGCCAGGTTCTTGTTTTCTAGCAAATTCAGCACCTTTATGAAGACTTCCGTCAAATGATAAGGGTCTCTTTGTTGAAAAGTTTTTATTTGACGTTTGAAGTGGACATGTGAAATGTTTCATGGAGTCATGCATTCTTGTTGGAAAGACTTACCTACCTTATATGCCAATCTTGAGTCTATGGATTTGCTTTGAACTTGCACTGGAGGAATACCATGTTAAACCCATTTTGCAAACAAACGCTCCAATACTATTTGAAAAAAAAAAAAAACAGAGAATATTTAAGTTGATTTGCTTGGAATTGTAAAAAAAGTGTTTTCATTTTTAGTTGACATCTTTTTACTGATAATTACAGAAGTACCATATTGTTTTCATTAAGCTTTCAAGATTTTGTGTTCATTATAATTCAAGATTTTTTTATGGAAATTCCCTTTCCAAAATCTTGAGAACATGAAACGAAATGACAAACATGATACTTTTGTAATTATTAGTGGGAAGATATCAATTGAATGTGAAAACAGGGAACACACCAAAAACTTGCTCAATATTTTTGTGTGTTCAATGTTATGATCATTAAAATTTGCTAAATCATCTCATACATTTTTTGAGGAAATTTTGTTGTTTTCAATGTCCGAATCTTATTTGCAATATTGATCCATTGGCCCATTATATAATGTGAAATGGTGTTGTACGTATCTGTCTAATGAGGTGATATCAAGGTCTCTGACCTTTGATCATAGTTTTTATTTGTGTGTTATATTAGGCTGGTTTCATAATTTTGTGGCATTTGACTCTGAAGTTTATGCTTCCTTTGTGATTGAGCGCTTCATAGCCTAAGAATTTTTTGCATTATAATTTTCTGTGTTATTTGTTTTTATTACATGCTGAGCTCTTGGTGTTCTAAATCATTTATAGGTGTGGATTTCAAGATCAAGCTTTTTACAATTGGTGGAAAAAGATTGAAGCTTACTATATGGGACACAGGTAACTGTTTTTCTAGTAATATGATCACATTTCATGTAGTTTTTTTGTGAAGAAGTTTGTAGTTAAGAAATTTCTTTTTCTAACTAAATCTTCTGTTCATCTGGGAAATTTTTGTAATATTATATTGTTTTCTTGTCTTTGTCACTTACAGATAAATATTTCTATTTAGAAATGCTGCTTTGAAAAGCTATTTTGTCCTTTACCAAAATAAATATTAAAAAAGATGGCAAAAAAATAAAAATAACTTAAATTTGAGGATACAGTAAGTGGGAATGTTTTACAAGAAGGATCTGTAAATCCTACTTTTATCTGCACACACTAGTAGTGTTAGAAGGAATAAAATATTATACCAATGGAGTCCTACTTACTTTCCAGTCTTAGCCGGTTAGGATTAGATTCTGTGTCTTAATTGCATTTATTTGAAACCTTGCAGTGGTGACTTGTTGCAGTTAGATTATAGTGTTTATTTATCTTTTTTGGCAGCTGGACAAGAGAGGTTTGGAACTGTTATAAGCTCATACTACAGAGGCGCACATGGAATCATCCTCGGTATATTATATATTGCCCCCCCACACACATGAAAATTGAAATTTTCTGCATATACATATATTTATGACACTGAAAAATGTATTTTTGTGAAGGTTGTTTTTCTGCTGCTTTACTGTTTAAGCCTCTACTGAAATTTGTAGAGAGTTTTTGGTAAAAAAATGGGTTCTTCCCAAAGTGAGGAGGGCCTTTTACTATTTGAAAAGAATGAGAGAGAGAGAGAGAGAGAGAGAGAAGGGTTCTATAAAAGAGTTATAAAGAGGGATGGAGACAATATATTGTTTGAAACACTATGCATTGCCTCTAGTCTATACTTGTAGGCTTGTAGCTATTGTAGAGGAATGCCATATAATTGTATAGTTGTCAATCAATCATCCCTAAATCAATTCCAATCAATGCCTAAAGCCAATACTCTGTCAATTACCTTTGATTTTTGGTCAACACTTTCTGAATTTGTAAGACTTTCCTACACTTTTCTATACTCTTTAACAAATGTTAATTTCTTAAAAGGAAAGCATGTTCTTGCATAAATGTGGTGGTCACTCTTGGTGCTTAGTATTGCCTTCAGTGTTCGCATCTAATTGCTTTTTCTTCATTCAAATTTTCTATTTAGTCTATGACGTGACACGACGTGAGACGTTTACAAACCTGGTGGATATATGGGCAAAAGAAGTTGAGCTTTACTCCACTAACCATGATTGCATCAAAATTCTTGTTGGCAATAAGGTGGATAAGGTAAAATTTTACAGTGAATCTAGCTGTCTTTTGCTTACTCAGGAAAAGACAAAAAACCATACAAATTATGCTATTCCCCCCATCCTAACTAATTTTAAAGTAATAATTTGTTTTGGAATCAGACTAGAACTTCCAATTTATTCCTTAATATTATTTTCTTGCATTTTATTTTGGTTTGGATTCTGAAGAGAGTCAGTTGTATTACTTTTCAGGAGAGTGAAAGAGCTGTAACCAAAGAAGAAGGTATGGCTCTTGCCCAGGAACATAAATGCTTGTTCCTAGAGTGTAGTGCCAAAACTAAAGAAAATGTTCAGCAATGCTTTAACGATCTCACTTTAAAGGTACGTATGATCTTAATAATACACAAGTGTTGGTCAAGTTACTTTGTACTCTGCCATATTATTATTCCATTTGTGATATTGTGGAAATAATAAAAGCTAGTTTGTTTCTCTTTTAAATTAAATTAAAGTAATTTACATTCAGCTGCTTCTTGTTCCATTTTTAGAGCATGTAACCATGGCATGCCTAATTGAGTTGAAGATACACTTCTAAATCATATTTTGCATGCACAAAGAATGATGACTGAATTTATATTAATTTTTTAATCTTACTGAAATTTCAAGAATTTAAAGTTTAAATAATTGTTAAAAGCGGTTCTCTCAATGGGTTTGCCTTATTTGTATTTGATTATGCTGTTTTGCAAAGAGATGCTCCATTCTCAAAATTGGAGCTTAAAACTTCCACACTTCTATGGTAAGAACCTGGACTTGGATCTCAAAAAATTGAAATTTCATCCTAATTCCTAAGTGGCACTGCAGTGGAGGTCATAGTTCTGTCGTGACCACTCTTGATTCCATCCATATGTATACATTTAAAATGTTTTGAGATGGCTGATTCAACAAAGAAGCTAGAGTTCTCTGCATGAAACTTGTAGGAGGAAGAAGTGATAGTTTGAATTCCCTCTTATTCCTTTCTTCTGTTTTTTGGTTGGGAATCTTGGGATTAAAGTATTAAACATTTTGTAAAGTGCCATTGGAAGCTGATCACCACAACAACTTGGACAAAATCCACTCACTTGCACTGTTCTATTTCAACGACTTCTTTTCTTTAAAATAAAAAGAAATAATCTTTCCTTTTTTAAGAATTATAATTTCTAAGAATTGATGTTGAAATTTATATAACAAATTTATCCAAATTGATAATTATATCCGTCATAGGCCACCAAGGAAGAGCTGAAATTCAAAGTAACAATCTCCCTTTAACCCAACCCCAAAAGTCATTAATCTGTTGAAATAATAATCTTCTTATTATCTTTTATCAATTTTAATTGAAATTAAAAACTATGTATTATTAAAAAATGGAATTTGGATCCTCTCATGTTGTAATTAACATGATATAGTATGTTAGAGAGAAAAGTTTAAGTCATAATTACTCAACAATATGCAGATCCTTTAAAAAATTCTCTGTCTCCGAACTGATTATATACTCTCAGCCCTGATTGTTCCAAATATGGTGGAGAAAGCGGGGTGCTGAGAAATATAATTGTGCCTTGTTGGTTAAGTTAACAATTACTTCTACTTGCACTGCACACAAAATGTGTCTTTTTTATAGTTATAGTTTTTGTAGAAATGAAGTTCTAAGTCAGTGTTTTGCTACACAATCATTGAATTTTACAGTGAAATATATCACATTTTGTTGCCTCTCTATATCTCTTTCTCTTCTGCATCTAATCTTAAAAAATTTAACAGAATTTAACAGCTTGTCACTAGCTAAATTTTTTGTTCATCCAATCAACATTGATTTACAGATATTAGAGATGCCAAATTTACGGGAAAAGGGGTCTGTGGTAGTAAAGAGACAAAAGCAGAAGCGCATATATGAGACACCTCAAAATGGCAGTTGCTGTTCTCAGTAAATATGCAATTGATTTTACAACAGGGATAATACATGTACTAGCTGGTTTTTGTATCATATCAAGTGACAAGTGTCACATTCAGATAGTTTGGATGACCATATGCTCCAATATTTTTTCCAGCCTATTTTCATTACTTCCAAGAAGGAGTTGCTTTTGAGATGGTTGTTTCCCTCTGAATATCTTTTGGAGCCACACTATAACAAATTTTATAGTTGTCAAGATGATCACAAAGCTTTTCAATATATTGTGCCTTTTCTTCTGTTATAGTTTTGGAAACACAGCGGTCTTGTACATCATATGTAAATATGTCTCCAGTTTGAAAATATTAGGGGTGGTTTAAATTTGGTTAGTTTAGGATATGTAGCAACATTACATATACTATTTTGGGTTTGGTTCTCCCCTCCTCCCTCTTTATATAACATTGGATGAGAAAATATTTTGTTTATATCTGTATTTTATCTATCTTTTTTTTTCCAATTCCCCAGAGCACTGAAAATTACTATTTATAGCTTGGTCTATTTACAATTTCTTCACAATTATGATCAAACTTTTTTCTTCTTGTCAAGTTAAAAATATGTTGGCATGGAAAGAAAGCGCTTCATATAATTCATTAATTATTATTTTGTTGTAAATATAGTGGATAGAGAGATCAGCTACATTTAGATTTTCATCAATTGCGCTTTGAAGCATTTAGCTTGAGGGGTTTTCTGTTTTTTTCTTACGGGATAACAAACTGAGGTTTTTATTTATTTATTTATATGATATGCAATGTTTATGACTTGATCAAGAGTTTGAGGCTCTGGGCTATTTTGTGCTAACTCATTTATGTGCCCTTTATATTTCAATTATAATTTGGTTTTTATGGAAGGAGCATTTTTAGATGTTGCGTTAATAGTTTCTGACTAACAAGTTTAAGTTTTTTCCAATGACCTTTATTTTTCAGTTGTTGTTTTTGGATTTAATTTGAACGTGCTGTGAAATTTCGGTTTTAATAAGAATTAATTTTGCAAGGGTAAAGTGGCATTTCAGGTATCTTTTTCTTAAGGTTTTGTTGTTCAGATAAATTACAATCTTTTTAACTTTATTTTAAATGTATCTTTCGCTACCTGTATTCTTAAGGAAATGTATTTGTCGCCAAAGATACAAACTGTGATTGGTGAAGCTAATCAGATAGATCTAACTCATTGTTCAAATGTTATTTTTTGACGTATAACATGGCAAAATTGAAATAAACTTTATCATGAAGTATTGACAACCTTGGGCTTTACTAAATTTTTGGAAGATATATATTTTTATTTCTTTCCTACTTTAAATATGGAGAAATTTGACTATGAAGAGAGGAACTTTCTGAGTTTTGTAGTTGTGTCTAGGAAATGCTATTGTACCGTTACCTCTAAAAAGTTTGCAAAAATAAATTACCCAGAAACTCTAATAAAGTTTTATTAAGATACTCTTTACATTTCCCTCTTTTGCAATACATTTTTACGTAATTTCTGAAAAAAAAATCTTGAAGTACAGTAGTTAACATTTAAAATTACTGGGAATTTTCATTTGAAAAGCCTACATGTATTTCCATTTTACTCACCCTAACACTTTTCTGTTAGCCTTAAATTTTAAACAACAGCAGCAACAATAATAATATCACATTTTGATTATTTTTGTCTGGTAGTACCAGCAATGTAATTTATAACCTTTGAGAACAAGTAACATGATTGCTGACTACTTCATGAATGGCACTGGTGTATATCAACTTGATGCATTTCCTCATCAATCTGTCAATACCAATCCTTCATATAACAACATGTATTTCTATTGCCTGAGGCCTCAGCATAAAGTCTCATTTGCTTGTGGTCAAATGCTGATATAAAGTTGGTTTGAAAACAAGTGATTTGGCCAAACATCTTCCAGTGTTAATCAATTATTTGGCCAAATGTTTGAGAATGTTAATCTCATCTCATTCAGCAGATGATTTTATTAATCCCTTGTTTATATAAGACAAGTGGTTTGGTCAAAGCTCTACAAGTATGATAAGACTCATTCATGACAAATTAATTCTTGATATGCTGGATCACAAATACATTTCTTACGGTTGGCTCAAATTTTGCATTCCTTGACAATACTGGAATAAGTTCACAAAATTTAAAATACTGCTACTTAGGCCAATAACTATATATCTATAAGTTATTGATAATTATCCTAAACCTGCCAAGGAGAGACCACCACCTGAAAAACTCTTGTGTGGTTAGTTTTATTTATTCAGCTAAGAAAATAATAAACGATTCTGCTTTTCCCTCCATGATTCTGGCTTGTGAAAACTTATTTCTTGTTTGCAAACTGCTGGGATTTTTGTCATTCCAGAGCTCCAGCTACATGTAACGAAAGGATTTAGAATTGAGTTACAACTTGGTTAAAAAATAACAAAATACTGCTTCAGAGGATTCTATAATCAATATACTGTGATAGTAAAGTCAAAGGGATTATATGCTTAATTCTACATGATTAGGAGTTCTGCAAAATTTTTCACAGTGAAGGGAAATATACAACTGGCTGGATTCTAAATTTTTTTCCAATTTGATTTTACTATGATTCAAATCTATAAGTATTGATAAATTTAAATTATACCATAGTGATATTAGGAGGTTTGAAGAATAGATGCTAAAAGCATATTACTTATTTAGGGTGTTAAAAATAAGCAAATGAAAGTTAGAGTCGCAAGGTGCAGAACAGACCCAATCACCCGAGTATTACTTAGAAATTACTCAACAACTAAATTACTATGCTGTGTCAAACTAATTAATTATGCGAGCATAAATTAAATTTTTTGACAAGACCTGATCACATCATAATCAGCAAGAGAATTTGTTGTTGTTGATTAGCATGAATTTTTTTATGTTCCATGTTAGATCAATCGATCTTTGGAACGATAAAGCAAACTACGGAATAAAACAAATGATAGAAAGACAAGGATTCAAAGAAAACTTCAGAGACCAAATGGGGGAAGCTAAAGCTTAATTGGATCTTGATAAGCTTTAGGCCCGATGAAGCTGTCAATGGAATTAATGGAAAAAAGGATTGTATGGAATTGATTGCACAATTATTTGTAACAGTTATTCTCTTATTTAAGATAGTTAACTTTAAATGCATTATATGGTAGTTTAACTGATTTATTGGGCTGAAATCAATGTGACGGCTTGTAATTTAAGTGTATTTATATAAGCAATCTGAATGGAGAGAGGACCGAGTTTTTGGCCAAACCTTTTCTTAGTTTAACATAATATCAGCCTTGGTTATGATCCAAGAACCTAGTTTGCATTTTTTTTCTTTTGTTTTTGACCTAGCTCAAGTTTCATGATCCTGTGTCACCTCTATTGCCGTTCTCCGTTTCTTTTTCGCTTCTATTTCTCAGTTATTTGTTTTTCAGTCTAGATTATCTTCTCATTTTTTTTCAATTCATAATTCCCTAGTTCCATGTCTAACGAAAAGCATGACATCATGTTAGGTCGCCTTAATGGTAAAATCTACTTAGCTTGGTCATTCTATTTCGAGATATTTGCTACGGGACAAAATTTGTGGGGTTATGTTGATGGCCGCACCCCAATCTTGACAAAGACAAAGATAAGATTGAACATGTCAAATGGGTAGTCAAAGACACTAAGGTCATGGCTTGAGTCCTCGGTTCTGTTGACCCCAACATTGTTCTGAATCTTCAACCTTACAAGACAACAACCAAAATATGGAATTACTTAAAAAAAGTTTACAGTCAGAATAATGCCGCTCGAAGATTCCAGCTTGAGCACGACATAGCTTCCTTTCAATAGGATAGTCTCTCCGTCTCTGATTTTTATTCTCAATTCATGAATCTTTGGACTGAATACACTTATATAGTTTATGTAGACTTGACTTTTGAAGGTCTAAGTTAAGTACAGATTGTTTATGGAACTACTAAACGAGATCAATTTCTTATGAGATTGAGATCTGACTTTGAAGGTATTCGGTCCAATCTCATACATCGCGACCCCGTACCATCATTGGATGCATGTTTCAATGATCTGTTATGTGAGGAACAATGCCTTCATACTGAGTCTATCATTGAAGATCAAAAATCATCTACTGTTCCAGTGGCATATGTGGCACGCAGACTGTCAAGAAGTCATGACATGAGTGCTGTTCAATGTTTCTGTTGCAAGCAATTGGGACATTATGCTTCAAATTGTCAACTACTGCGAAAAGCATGGACATATTCTTAAGGAATGCCCAATAAAGCCACCAAAGCGAAATGTCATAGCTTTTACCGCTGCAGTTGGTTCATCTGTTCCTAACAATGCAGCCAATGCAGCATCGGTTCAACAAAATGCTCCTACTACTATTTCAACGGTGACTCCTTAAATGGTTCAACAGATGATCATTTCAGCATTCTCTGCTTTTGGATTCTTAGGTACTTTGATTCTGGTACTTTGATTCTTCATCTTGGTACTTTGATTCTGGTGCTTCTAACCACATGACCAACAATGCTTAATTTCTCACTAATGTGAAAAAATACCTTGGAAATCTCAAGATACATATTGCTGATAGAAATCAATTGCCTATCATAGCCGCAGGTGATATTTCTTCATCTCTCACAAATGTTTTTGTCTCTCTTGGTCTCACTAGTAATCTAATTTCAATTGGTCAATTAGTTAAGAATGATTGTCAAGTATGTTGGAAGATTAAACTTGCCTTTGAAAAAGTCAAATATTGCAACTTAGTTTCTATTAGATGAATGTTATAGTTGTCAATTTGTTTTAAATAACTACCATATTTAGGTAGGCGTCGAAAGTGGAAAACAAATGGTTTAGCAAATTAATAGTTGGCACACGATTTTAGGAAAGCAAATTGGAAGCTATTAGACAACCACTTGATTAGCTAACACACAGTTTGTAATATTATAAATAGGAAAGCTTAGTGGCAACCGTAAGGAGAATTGTGAGAAAGAGTGAACTTAAGAAAAATAAGAGTAATTAGAGAGAAAGCTCTAACAAGTTTAGTACTTTGTTGTAGTATTATTTTGAGTGTGTAAATTGGCTATTAACAAAGCCAAAGTATTGAGTGTTGTATTATAAAAAAATATTTTGTGTGTTCAAAATTGTTCCTTGAGTGTTCATAAAATTTATTTGCATCTTCATTCAAACAAGGCAATTTATTTTAATTGCCAACATTTGGTATCAGATCTTGTTGTATCAAAATGGTAGCAAGTTCAAGCATGGGAGCAAGCCAATTTCAACAAGTGCAAACAACTGTCTTCAAGTTTGATGGCAAATCAAACTTTGCGATGTGGAAACAATTGATGGAGCTGTGTTTAAAAAGCATCGGTTATGGTGAAATCATCAAGGATGGTTTTACTAAACCAACCGAAGGAGATAAAGGAA